TGCTGTGCTCTACAATTCGTATAAGTTTGCTAAAAACAATGTCTGTATTTTTGACATTTTTAAAAAATCACATCTTCAGGATTTCTAAATACCCTGACATATCATGATCCCACCTAAGCCTAGACAAAATGATTAATCAGTTATCAAGAAAGTTGCCAATGAATTTTCTGTCGATCACTGATCAATTACTCAAGAAATTATTCCAGCTTTACTTTGCTTTCCAAGGCCATCAACTCCTCACATATAAACTGAATGTTGAAAATGTCAGTGTTACTACTAATTTACATAAAATGCATATATTACATATTTACATACAAATACAAATTTGTCATTGGTACAGCAACCGAGCAGCTCCACATGTTCTGCATCCCTCTGTGGCCTTCATGCATACATAGTGCATTTGAACGTGGATCTTTTGGGACAGTTGGGGCAGAAAGCGTGCATTGGGATTTCAAAGATGTCTCCTCTGCAGTTACTGTGTTATTGCTCAAGTCTTGCATCCACTCAATAACCAAAGCTGTCAAAACCAGCCTGTTTCCGAGAACCAGTAAAGAAAAAACTATTAATCCATTTGTTTCTTCTGACAAATGGCTTCTTCTTTGTTGAGCTGTAAACATTGATTAAAGCCACATTGTTTCCTGTTGAGTCAAAGGGAGTTTGAGGGCTGATGACTCAATGATTCTCATCCACTCACTGACATTCATTCAGCGCCTCCTTGGGGATTGGGCACTTCAGGTTGTAGTGACCCATATATATCAGAGTGAGCTGGATAATATAAACAAGAGATCCATTAGAAACCAAATGAATAATAGATGAAGACAGAGACAGTGTAGGAGAAGGGGAGGCAGGGAGATGCCTTTGAGGTGGCAGTCCTTGACCACCAAATCCCCAATTATATTCTGTATTGTTTGGGTTTGAGCATCAGTGCCTGAGAGAACAGGAGAACTACAAGAAAGATAAATATAAATACATGTAATTAAACTAAATGTTTATTATAAATGTGATGTCAGTATTGAAGCTTTGCTGATATTGTTCTTCATGTTCTTGCCTATGAACTGAATCTAAGGGAGCAGCATTATTTTGAGAAGGCCTGGCAATGACAATGCTAATTCTAGGAAAGTCAAAGTGTCATCTGAAACCACAGCTTTCTTTAAACTACAATGTGACACCATGCTGCATTGTCGCCCAGGGGGCAGTTCAGCAGTGTCTCCATTCAAAATCCATCTAAAACACTACCTCTGCCAAGAATAAACCATTTTGTTGGTTATGGGGTTATTTGACAAGAAGCAATTGAGACATTACTTATTGGTCCAATAAAAAAATATGCTGAAACAACAGTACCACGATACCTCTCACTTTGTACCAATCCTGTACTCTGTAAAGCAGCCAGTACAGATGCTGTGTCATAGGTGCTGATGTTGCTATGCAACCAACCTGAATGGTTTTCAGAGGGCAGAACATATTTACAAGTCTGTTATCATTTCAAAATGGTTGTATTTGGCAGAATAACGATTTTCCATTAGCAGGAACCCTTAAAACTGCCTTGATTTATGATCTGCATGGTTGGTGCATCCCATTATACAGCTCTCAGAAGAATCTCCTCCAAAGTACAAATGAATGGCCTGTGTAGCTGGGACCGCTAATGCTTCATCACAGGATAATCAATGTGAAATATTGTCATCACTGCCATGTCTACAGTCCAGGCAGTGTACTCAATAAGCGTGACGCCCATGTTACAGAACCTGCCATTCATTTAGACTTCATTTAGTCATTTTAATGTTTTTTTTAGTTAGTCAGAAAACAATTTCCTTCACAACTGTCCAGAGCCTAAGATGATGTCATAAAGTTGTTTGCTCCGTCTCACCAATGGATAAAACCCAAACATATTTAGTTTACTATCACATAACACAAAGAAAAACAGCAAATCCCAAAAAAACAATTAAGATTCTGGAACTAATGAAGGTTTGGCATTTTTGCTTGAAAAAATACTTTAAGGATTAACTGATCATCAGAATAGATGCTGATTAATTTTCTGTTCATCAGCATAGCAATTAATCAAATTTTAGCTCTAGTTTCTTCACTTTACACAGACAACCTGAGTACTTAGTAGCTTAAATGTAATAATTAGCAAATGACAGAAATCCTTAATCCAAAAAAAGTGAAAGGTGCACTTGCACCCAACATATAGTGATCTGTCAATTTTTAACAGAGCATAATAATAGTGAGACTCAAAAAGTGTCAAACATACTGCTGATAACACAGTGAGACCTGTTAGAACTGAACTCTTTACTTCTTTGCATACCTCCTTATATGCCTTATTTTATCTGACCTGTGCTCTCGTGCATCTTGTTATAAAGTTGATTAATACCCAACATTTGATTCTGATATGCTAAAATACAAACACTATGATGGTTAATCCTGCATCTGATTACTCTGAATATACACTTGACCTATCTGACCTTAAAGGCTCAGTGTACACACTGGGATTACTTAGGAGGTCCTGATCCAATCACACTTGAACACAAAGTCCAGTTTGATTGATTACTGTGAACAATGTGCACCATACCCGGGCACAGTACTTTGATCCATTTCCAGGTCCAATTGAAAAGGCAGTCTTGTGTACATAATGTGTACTCGGGTACGGTTCATATCAGGTGCGAAAATCAAATATACCAATACATTAAAATTGACTTCTATTTAACGTGAGTATCAGTTGGCAGTCGGATTTTTAAAAGCAATGCCACCGGTCTCTGAACTCTGCATATACACACAGCATGTGCCGATCTCAACCTTTTGAACTGCACCACAGTCATAAGTGATAAAGCAGGAAGACGGGCGAGAGGGTTGTCCTTGACATTGTCACCAAAATATAAAAAAAAGTAGGCATAATGCAAAAGTAGACTCCACTGGCAATGTGCAAGGTGAGCGGCAGTGGGGTGGACGGGAAATCGTGCTCAGGCACAGTACAAATCAATCAAACAAAACACCCTCAGTTTCTTTTAAACAGTATTATTCAGCCTGTAAAAACAGTTGTATAATGTCCTCTGTGACTGCAGAAGACTCTTTCTAAAGTTTGGACATATGATTAATGTTATATAATAATAATTATCTTGGCTTGCGCTTGTAGACTTAACATTTTGAACACAAAGTCTGAAATACGAACTGGGGTGGTAGAGTCTAAAAGATGAGTGCATTAACAGGCAGGGATGGTCTAACAGAAGATGTTATCGGGTGCATGATTGGAAATGTAGGATCCAGTGTTTCTGGAGCTGGACCCACATTAGGGACGAAGAGTCAATCATCTTGGCTTCTGCTGCCTCAATTTTTAACCATTCTTCTTTTAAAATCATGCTTTAGTCAGTCCCCAAACTTTATGGAGGCAAAATGATGAATCACTGGAATGCCCCTTTAAATTGCCCACATTAACTCTGATATCTTTAATCAATCATTTCAGTATGCACTTGTGTGATCAGATGTGACATGCTACGCTGAATTGAACTGAACTGAAATTAGTGTATACATTTATTTTTATATAAATACACTTTGATGCATGTATTATGTGTTGGATTATTGACTTTATATCCAGGATCAGACTTGTATATCTCTTTCTGCTACTTCCACATCATGTGTTAATGGATAACAGAAAGCCAATAATCTCTCCTTGTGGCACAATAAGAGTGAAGCGCTGGCCATGACCTCTACCATTTGGGGTCATATGCTTGGTAATAAAATGCGCAGAGTTGGTAGGAGAACAGCATTGTCTTCGATATTTAGAATGGGAGAGACAAAGAGTGAGGGAAGACATGGAATGACAAGCAGACAGAGAGGCATGCGGAGCTGCATGGGCGTCTGACCGGCAGACATATTGACAGAGACTGTATCACGGAGCATTTGATGGACGCTTTCATCCACAGCATCTTACAGCAGCACGAGTGAATCAGTGCATTTAGCATGGGTGGGTACTGAACCATTAAAGCCTGACAGTGGTCGCTGTTAATGCCATGCTGGAGCCATCAAGCTGCAGAACCACAGACTGACAGACAGACCGATGGAACAGACAGACAGACAGACAGACAGAAAGGCAGAAAGGCAGGGAGGCTGAGTGTCTGACGGCTGCGCGGCTTCTCACGCCTTCATGTTTTCCTGCCAGATCAGCCTGACAGAAAATCAATGACGCTGCACTCTCATGGAGACGCACAGTAACCACTGCAAAAGGCGAGAACGAAAGGCTGAATATGCAGCAGTCATGTCTGTAGCCTATGGTTTCTCATACAGAGGCTGCACGACGGTGATGATGATGAAGCATCTCATGTAATTACGCACCCAGGTCCACATGTGTGTGTAACGGAATGTGTCAAAGCTGTTGCCTCACCGGCGTATGGGTCTATTATCGGACACAAAAACTGATTCCATTTTAGAGGCCTCTCTAATGTGCCCCATAAACCCACCGAGGTGAATGGAGTTCCTGGTTAATTTAGGCAACGGCTACTTACACTGAGCTACCCTTAGAGCCAAAGCGCTCTTATATGCAGGCTATCCAAATTGACACACAATACAAATGATGTGCGTCTCATTGCAAAATATTCCATGCGCATTGATAAACCTTTGTGAAAACAGCAGACTAACTGTTCTGTGAGTGTGGCACTGCTGTTTTTGCAGGGGAAACGGGGGTGAGCATCACGTCAAGCATGTCCGATAACGGATGCATTGACGTTTACATGCGCAGGCAATATTCTGGGGACAGAGGAGGAGGAGGGGGTCGGGTTTCGCACCAACAACCGCCGCATCACTGTCAGTAAAACGGTGGAATCACTCTCGATCTCAATATTAAATGCCTACAGCCACAGTCAGTTCATTAGTCGAGGTGTGTGTCCAGATATTCTATTTGACACCGAGACAGCAGCTTTTATATGACAAGGCTGTCTATTCTCAGGAAGGAGGCACATGTGTTTAACCACGAGCACAGATCCAGTGAATAGTAAAAGCAAGCTTTTATTTACCTTCATGTCGTTGACAATCGCCTGGAATAGACCCCCGAGGGCCCCGCATTCCTTCTCCACGGTCTCCATGTTTGCCAAATCCACCATTCACCGGAATTTGCAAGCGCGCACCAACTGCGCGCTACCAACACTCAGCAGGAAAAAAAAAAATGCAAAATGTATTTCCACAAAATTACGACCGGGCTCTCCGGTTTCTCCTTCAAACCGGGAGACCGACAGTAACGGAGGGATGCAGCAAGAACAGGAGGAGGAGGGAGATGAGGAAAAAAGGAAAAGATGCCGAAAGAAATGGCTTGCGCTGCGGTCTCTTCCAAGCGAAAGGGAGATGGGTTGTGAGAGAGGAAAGATGGTCTCTCTCTCTTTCTCTGTCTCCGTCTGTCTCTCTCTCTCCCCGGCTCTGGGTCAGTCAGGCGGTGAGACGTTCAGATGGTACTGGGACATCCGCTCATCTTGGCGCAGCCAGCGCTACGCGGAGTCGGCGGGGACGCATGTGAAGGCAGCGGAGAACCGGAGCGGTGGATCGCCGTTCGTGTGTGTGTATATGTCAGGGTCTGTGTCTGTGCGTTCGTGCATGCATGTGCGCGTAGGTAAAGGCAGGCTGTGATTGGTGCAGAGGTGGTGGGCTCAGCGGTGCGGGGAGAGCAGCCAGTAATACGATCCATGCAACTGCAAAGGAGTCAAAAAAAGGAGGCTGGACCACTCTGGACGGCCTGTCACATGGCCACACGCACACACAGGCACACATGCACACACACACACACACACACACACACACACCGTAGACCACCAGTAAAAATTTAGCAGGGGTAAATGTCAAATACATTTAGCTACCAGAAGAGTGTGTGTATGTGTGTAGGAATGTGTCCTGATGACCCCTGATTCATGATTTTAAATATTACCTTCATAACCTTTCAATGACCTATCAGGACTGTTATTTGAGAATGCTATTATATGATCCTTCTTTAAAAATGTATCGGGGCTGATTTCCTATTATCCATTTGGCTTGTTGATATGGAAAATTAGCTCAATAAAAGTACGACAGCCAGGTGGAAAGCAACATGATAAACTAGAGAGATTGGAATTTCTGGCGTTGATGACAACTTCACAGATCTCATCCTATGTAATCTTATTTCATTGCAGGGTTGCAAGCACCGCATTCGCTCAGCCTCTCCTTGCCCCGCTCTCTCCCTGTTTCTCAGACCACAAATGACACAAGAATTAGCTAGCTAGGCACCCCACGGTCCCCTCGCCTCACTCCCTGCCGCTGTTCACTGCTTCTCCAGGAGGAGAGCGGGCAGCAGCTCCGGAGCTTCACTTAGCAGCTGTAGCGGCTTAAAGTCAGCTCGGGTGAACCCCCTATTGCCAGGTCAGTGGGCTGGTGTCCAGAAGTGCCAGGTCTAACCTGTGTAACTGCAGCAACAGTACTTTGCTGATCTGGTGGGGAGTCATGGCTGTATTAGCAACATTTTTTTTCCACCTCTGAAACACTTTGCCGATATTAAGATGTTTTGTTTTGCTTATTGTCAGACTCTCTTTAGACTTTCTCTTTGATAAGTCCGTCTACCTTTTTTTGGTTGCTTTGCTGTGGAAGCTGTTGTTGCAAATACTGGAAAGCAGCTGTCTCTGCATGACTCCCCTCCATGGAATCAAGCTTTCACCATCTGAAGGGATGTGCATGTGTCCTTGGTTTCGTCAAAACTACAGTAGAAGCACAAAAGTCTTGCAACTGCTGTGATAAGTTATTTCTTGTGAGATAGCTATTAGCTCATGTCAGCTATTTTCACTATTTCCTGTATCAATATGAGAAGAAAGCTAACTGCTCCTAAATCCCCTCTAATGCAAAAAGGGTTCTGGCAGAAGTTGTATTTGGAGGACTGCACAATGTTGAAGTTCCACTGAGTGGATTCAACAGACAAGATGTTTCTAATATAAAACAGTTACGTCACATAACCTGCAACGTACTAAACTCAAACCTGCACATATACAGTGAGCTGAAACTTGCTCTGTATAGCAGAGGGGAGTCCTTTCAAATTTACACATTGTCATTTGAGACATCATTATTATAAAAATAATGATGATTGCTGTTGGAAAAAAATACTGAAACTGCATGTCTTGTATGCCATGTCAAATACATGTTTCAAGGATGACTGGGGTTTCATTATAACTCCTATTAATTTTAACATGTCTGTAGTGAAGACAGTTTGTGTAATTCTGTTAAAGCAACAACTAATTCCAGACATGTTTCCCGAGGCAGTTTTTTGCATGGGTAGAAATCCTGGGACTGCCTTTGAGTGTCATTCCTTGACATGAACAAAGCTCCTAAACATCATAGTTAAATTCACTTTAGGTGAAACTAAGAAAAGACAAGAATAGGAAACATACATCTGCATAAATCTGGAGGAAAAAAACTGGTACATTTTGTTTATATGCATAAAGTACAGTAGAGCAAGCCACCAGGAAGTGAGATGGACTTTGAAGATAGTTAGATGTAGTGGCCAAACTGTAACTATATCTTCCAGGTCCATCACATGATGCCATGTGGCCCAAAAAGACTTTTTCACATAGACTGAAATTGGGAAAGATGTCTGTAAATTGGTGGGTGCATTTTCATAGCATCACAACAAATCACTCTGACCTCATCACATATCGACATTTGGTCATGGACTTTCCACATCCAGATACAACATGCAAGGTACGTTGATTGATGACGTTCTGAGACGCCATGTCAAGTTCTGCCTGTTACGTGCATTGTCTTTTTCAAAATACATTTTTGTTTTCACAGGAAATGCAGTTTGCACACAGTCTTTTTCAAAATAAATGCACAATGTGGGTACAACACCGTAAATTGATGTCTTTTTTCTTTCAACAACAAACTCACATGGTTACATTTTGCCAGCACACGCTCATGGTTGGGTTTAGGAAAAAAGAACATGGTTTGGCTTTACAATCTTACAGGAAGTAAGCACCAGTTTCTCAGGTCAAAGTCAGTGGTTGTTGTTCCCTTATACCACCCCTCCCGCTCACCCTACTCAGACTTTTGCTGCCTTAACTTTTCTTCTTGTCCCGCTGCGTTCCCCCCCAATGCTGTCGGGCACTGTTAAACTATGATGGGGACCAGCTAGGTATCATGCCGACATGAACGGACGGCTTTATTTGTCAGCATCTGATGCTGGAAGTCACTGCCCAAGCGCCGGTTATTGACATCTTCAGAGTGAGACCAGGTTGATCACTGCAAAGTGACTTGTTGCATTAACAGCATTTGTTCCATAAATTCAGTCCGATAACATTTTGAAAGTCTAGAAGAGCCAAATGATGAAATCATGTTAGCTGAGAGGTAAACCGGAAGTTTGCCACTTGTCTAGTGAGCCTGCTCTGTTACACACAGGAAGTCGAAAATTTTTTGGCCTCTTGTGCCACTGAGGATCTTATACAGGCATAAATAGGGCCAGCCTCCAACGCTGTATCCAGTTCTGTTCATACATTCATAACTTAAACTGTTTAAGTAACATGATACGGTAAGCAACCTGAATCATGGTTCAAAGGTCAAAGGTCACAGTGCCCTGGATATTCCTGTGACCACAGATGAATCATGTCAGAAAGAAGTGCTGGGAAATCAGACAGGAATAGATAGTTGTAATGGGATCCTTTTCTTGGAGTGGTTTCATGCAGTAAGATGTTATTGTCACATGATAACCACATGATGATTTCAGAACGCAGTGTTTTAATATTACATTTTTATTGGCCTTAGTGTCAAGCTGAAGGAAGCCAAGAGGTGATTAACTCCCCTCAAAATACATCGAAGAATTCAAAATATGCATTCCAACCTGGAAATCTGATTTTTTTAAATATTCCTAAAAAACTGGGACATTTATTACCTTTTAGGACTCCTTGTATCCAGAGAGCAAATGACAGGCATGACACACTGTGTTATGTGTAGACAGGATCTCAGGAACACACACACACACACACACACACACACACACACACACACACACACATGCTCAGCTCAAAGCTCATGCCAAATTTCAGCATCCTGAGAGAGACCTCATATGGATACAAGAGAGGACACACCCATGTGAGCATCTCCAGTGTGTGTGTTTGTGTGTGTGTTTGTGTGTGTGTGTGTGTGTGTGTGTGTGTGTGTGTGTACAAATACCATATGTGCACTATACATGTTTGCGAGCATTCATGTGACTACCATGGTCCTCTATGGTGACCTTGACAGAGGGAAGGATGTAACAGATATCACATAGCCAGTGCTTTTCTTGTCTTAGCCTAACCCTTCCTGTGTGTTCAAATGTGTCCTGCATACACTTGGTTCACACACTCTCCGGACACCGTAACACCCAGCAGATTTACCAGTTCCCCTGTATTTGGCAGAAAACTGAGGAGCATGTGCTCAGTCGCAACAAAATCCTCCTTTGGCTCTCATTATCTCCCAAGAGGCCTTTCCTGAAAACATACTTCAAAGAGTCATGAAAACAGAGTGGGTGTATTAACAGCTGGGTATGGTAAAGTGACACATTCCAGCCAGGTTAAATCAATTTGACAAGGTTTTACTGCATTCCTAACTGTGGACCTGCTTTCTATTTAAAGATGTCACACACACAGCTACTGGAGGGCCAGACTGTCCCTTCTGTCTCCGTTCATACAAAGAAAATCCTGATGAAGTTTTCTCACCTGTTATCCTCTTGCCATTGGACCTTAAAATCTACCAGTTGTCCCCCCAAAATGCCACCAATTGTCTATTTTGTTGTAGGCACCGTCATGGATAAGTGTCCAAACATACAAGATTTAAAAAAAAAAAAAAAAAATTGTAACATAAGAGAAAAACAACAAAAAAGTGTTCAGGGCCTTCACACTCCGAACTCATCAAATACTGACACGGCCCTCTGTGTCTGAACCTGACACCCTGTGGCACCCTTTGATGTCCAAGCACCTGGGGGAGAATAAAGAGCGAAAGTGCGTGGTCAAACACAAGACTTTCACCAAGGATGCCACTGTTTGTGTCCCATGTGAAAACAAAAGTCAACATTGAGTTTAACTACATGATGTTGTATGTCATGTGACATAACAAACAATAGTAACAAACACTAAGGAGCAGAAACTGCACATTTTCTGTTAAAGAGTAAGTTTATTTTAAAAAGACTGATGAACTGATGAGCATGAAACGATTGGAAACTGACATGTATGTTCTCACATACCACACTCTCACACCTTGTCCTTACAATAAACAAGCGTCTGACTTTCGTGTCGCATCATGTTACATTGGATGCTCTCTGTCCACACTAGATCCATTACTTATGGAATTCTGTAATGTCATGTAAACATACCACTTACCTAGCAGCTGCGGTCTCAGAGTAACTACTGAAAATATGGGTGAGTATGCACTTCTTTATTCATATTCACATCACAGGTAACGTACAGATATCATTGTTGTAGCTACCAAACTGTATCATACCACAATCTTCAATTTGTAAAAGAAGCTAGCTTGCTAGCAAGCTCTGCTGAGCAATGAGGAGGTATATAGCTAAATCCTCATTTCAAAGATGTGAATCAGCCACTCCTCCATTGTGGCTCTTTCAATGCAAGCAACAGGAGTAAAAATAGAAACAAGGTGTCCAGCAAAAATTAAGCTCATAATGGCGTGCTGCATCTC